TGAGAGAGAGAGAATGAGAGACAGAGAGCATGAGAGGGAGGAGGGTCAGAGGGAGAAGCAGACTCCCCGCCGGGCAGGGAGCCCGATGCGGGACTCGATCCCGGGACTCCAGGATCATGACCTGAGCCGGAGGCAGTCGCTTAACCGACTGAGCCACCCAGGCGCCCGCGATGTACTTCTTGCCCCATTCCCTCCCAGGCTCCCGGCGCGGGCGCTCCAGAATGCTTGCAGACCGGCCAGTCCTGCCTGGTAGCTGTGCCTATTTCCGTGCGCTTGACACATGGTAAAAGCGGTCCAGGCTCTGCATTTGGGATCAGTCAGAGTTACCTGCTGGCTATGTGCCCACCAGGGTGGGGCGAGCGCTTCCCGTCCTGAAGGATTCACAGGGCACCCCGGCAGAGAATTGGGGGCTGGTTACTTAGGCAAGACCTTTCACTGCCACTTCCATAACCAGCTTAATGAAACACCGAGCCCCATTTGAGTAACGGGAGGACCGTTCTCCAGAAACACGGTCCCCCTCCAGCTTCGGTGACTTTTTGAAACTGTGGGTGGCTCTCCATAAGAACGGGACCCAGGAAGGTAACAGCCCAGGTGAGAGCAGCCCTCTAGTGGCAAGACGCCTGCCCTTGCCTGGGTTCGTCTCGCGAGCTCATCTGACCGCGCAACCCTGCAGGGGTGGGCGGGCCAGGAGACTAAGGCCCAGCAGATGAGGGTGGACGGCTCCGAGCGACCCAGCCAGCAAACGCTCTTGGAGCCCCTGGTGTGTCCTGCCCCTGTGCTGAGACCCTGGGCCCTGAGCTTTCAATGAGCGATCCCATGGAGGTATCCCCCTCCACCCCTTGGTGCTAATGAGGAGGCCAAGGCTGGGGAGGGCCGGTGGTTGGCAACACTGCCGAGCCTGTGTGGCAGGGAGGGGGCTCGGGGTGGTGGTCTGCCCAAGGCTGGCGCTGGAGTTCTTCTGCCTCAGTAACCTGCCGGCGGGTTTGAGCCATGAGTGGGTTCGGGTGGTTTGTTCTGATGGGTGGCCACGCACCTCCCCCTGGCCGCAGCTCGTCCCTGGCAGGAAGGGGTCTTCGGCAGGAGTGTGACGGACACTGGCCAGCCCAGCGTCTCTCCTGGCAAACCCGTGGGAAGCACCTGCTGGGATGGCCCTCGCTCAAGAGCACGTACATACGCGTGGTATGAAGAGGGGCAGCTGTGCTCCACAAAGGCTTTGAGAAAGTGTGGGAAAATAGTCATAACACGAAGCTTGCCATTTTAACTATTTTCCAGTGTACAAGTTAGTGGCATTAAGTACATTTGCAGCGTTGAGCAGCCAACTCATTTCCAAACCATTTTCATTCCCCTGAGAGGAACGCTGTCCTGGTCCCTCCCTCAGCCATGGTCACCCCTCATCTAATTCCCGTCTCCACGAAGCGGTGTATTCTAGGTCATTCACGGATGTCTGACTTATTTCACTTAGTGGCATGTGTTCCAGGAGGCTCATCTCCTTCCTTCTTAAGGCTGAATCGTGGCTCCGCCGCATTTTATTGATTCACGCATCTGTCGGGAGAGATTTGGGCTGTTGCCCCTTTTAGCTGTTGTGGAGAGTGCAATGCATGTTGGCCTCCGGTAGGGACGTGTGGGCCTCTCATGTGCTCCGGGCGAGTGTCAGTGGATCGCCGAGCACCAGCATGCCAGCAAGCCCCTCATTTGGCTTACTTTGCCTGACCTGCTTCCGGGGCCCCGGTCAGGCTGACCTTCCAGTCAGTTCCAAGCCCCGAGGCCGATGAGGGAGTCACGGGGATGGTGTGGACGGGACCGGCAGGCTCTCTCCCTCCCCGCGTGGATGGCAGGCAGTGGAATCCAGAGGGAAGAGCACTACTCCTTCCCCGTCCCACGCCGGCTGGGATGCTCAGGTTGGCTCGGGGGGAGAAAGTCGCACTGCAGGAATATTCATGTGCCTTTAATAGATTTGTTGTCTAAATTTAGAGCGGCCAGAAAGCACCGTTGGCACGACTGTGTCCACCGCCTTTGGTTTACCAGCTGGGAGGCCCGTGTGGCAGGGCAGCTGCATGGCGTGTCCTGCCTACGGGGGGCCGCGTCTCAGGCCAGGCGGGAGCCCAGGTGTTGCACTGGGGGGAGGCTGCCCCCAGGTCCACCCCAGCGCCAGCATCACCGTTTCCCGGCCGTCAGGAGGGCAAGAACTGGACTCAGATTTAGCTGTTACTGACCCGGGGGTTAAGGGTTCATGACAGAATATCTACAGACGGTTCTATGACACATCCAGGATTTTTCAGACCTGACTTAAAGAAGGGTCGTCGGGTCATCGCTCAGATCTCGTGATAGGAGTCTATTCCACATCACATCGATAGAGCCCGAAAAATTAATTACCTGTAGAACACAAGTCCCTGTATTCACAGCAAAGAGGGGGTCTGCAGGAAACTCTAGGACACTACACAGGGAAGAAATAACATTGTGAACCTTGGCAATTTTAACCTCTCGTGACGTGTCCCATCTCTGCTTGACCTTGCTTTGACCATCTTGCTCTCCCTTTCCAGGTGAAAAAGGAGATTCTGGTGACATAGGACCCCCTGGCCCTAATGGAGAACCAGGTATGGCATAGAGGGTGCAAGGACTTTTAAAACATGTGATAAAAATTGCACTTTCCCCTGGTTTTACTGAGAGATAATTGACATACATTACTGGAAAGGTTTAAGGGGTACAGCACAATGGTTTGATTTACAGATACCGTGAAATGATCACCACCATAGGTTCAGCTAACACCCATCTTCTCCTATAGACACAACAAAAAGAAAAGAAAGAAGAGAAAAGGAAAAAAAATTATCCTTGCAATGAGAACTCCAAGGACTTGCTCTCTTACCAGCTTCTCTGTGTGTCCTGCAGAGGGTTAGCTGTGGTCCTCACGTTGTGCATCACATCCCTCGTGGGCATTTACCTCTGCACCTGCTGACCCCCTTCGTCCCACTCCCTTCCCCCGCTACACATGGAAGTGAGATCGTGTGGAGTTTGCCCTTCTCTGCCTGCCTCGCTTCACCTAGCAATAATGCCTTCAGGGTCCATCCATGTTCACACAAATGACAGGGTTTCCTGGGGCTCCTGGGTGGCTCAGTGCGTTAAGCATCTGCCTTCGGCTCAGGTCATGATCTCAGGGTCCTGGGATTGAGCCCCGCGTCGGGCTCTTTGATCAGTGGGGAGCCTGCTTCTCCCTCTGCCTGCCGCTCCCCCTGCTTGTGCTCTCTCTCTCTCATTCTCTTGTGCTCTCACTCTCAAATGAATAAATAAAATCTTAAAACAAATGACAGGGTTTCCTAATTGTTCACAGCTGAATAGCACTCCATTGTGTACACGTCACAACTCCTCAATCCGTTCCTCCGTGGATGGACACGTAGGTTGTCGGCTGGTTTTTGTTCCTCTCTGTAACAGTCTTGAAGTGCTTGCATTTCTTACGAAGCTTTTAACACAGAAGAGCCAAGCGGGAAGCATCACACTCTGTGATTTCAAGTTATACCATAAATCGACAGGACTTGAACCAGTGCACATTGGCATAAAGACAGTCCCATGGACCATGGGGGCAGAACCAAGAGCCCGGAAATAAACCCAGGCACATACGGCCAACTAACATTTAATAAGGGAGCCAAGAACCCTCAATGGAGAAAAGACAACCTCTTCAATAAATGGCCCTGGGAAAACAGGACAGTCACATGGAAAAGAATGAAACTGAACCCCCATCTTACACTGCTCACAAAAATTAACTAGAAATGGACTAAAGACTTAAATGTAGGACCTGAGACCCACGAAACTCCTATAAGAAAACAGGAATGAAGCTCCCTGATGTGGGTCTTGGTCATGCGTTTTTGGATATGACACCTAAAGCACAAGCAATAAAAAGAAAAGTAAGCAGGTGGGACCACATCAAACTAAAAGAGCTTCTGCACAGCAGAGGAAACCACCAACAGAGTGAAAAAATACTGGCAAACCGTACATTTGATAAGGATGGATCCAAAACCTGTAAGGAGCTCATACAACTCAATAGCAAAACAAACAACCTAATTAAAAAAATGGGCAAAGTACCTGAATAGACATTTTTCTAAGGAAGACATATGAAAGGTCAACAGATACACAAAAGGACACTCAACATCTCTAGTCATCAGGGAAATGCAAATCAAAACCACAATGAGATGTCACCTCATACCTGTCAGAATGGCTGCTACCAAAAGACAAGAGCTAACAGATGTTGGCGCGGATGCGGAGAAAGGGGACCCTCGTGCACTGTTGGTGGGAATGCAAGCTGGTGCAGCCACTCTGGAAAACAGTATGCAGGGTCCTCAGAAAGTTAAAAATAGAACTAGCATGTAACCCAGCGATCCCACTTCTGGGAATATATCCAAAGGAAACAAACACTAACTCAAAGAGATACCTGCACCCCCGTGTTCACAGCAGCACTATTTAGAATAATCAAGACATGGGGAAAATTGCACTTGAGAAAAAACTGTAAATCATGAAATAAAACCGCAGTGGTCTGAAAACAGAGTATGTATGACTGGCATCCTCTTTCCTTGTCTGTCACATCCTCTGGTAGACTATTTCAATATTCCATTTCCTTCTACCTGAGTATTTTCACGTCCTTCTTGGGACTGTAGTGCTCGCCGACTTTAAGGATTGGCTCAGATATACGTGTCCCCAAGCATGCATTCCTCATTTCTAAGTACCTCCCCCTTCCTCTGACCACCAAACTTCTCGGAAAGCACGTCTGTATTTTCTCGTTCCAGAGCTCCTTGTAGCTGGCTCCCTGCAGCCTGACGCCCGGGAAGGTCACCCGGGACCCAGCCGCTCAGTGGACGTGGCCAGCTTCCTGGTGCTGGTGACAGTGACCTCTCGGCCCACTGTCCCACGGCCGCGGCCCCCTCTCCGTGGAGCTCGTCTGCTGCCTTTCGTCCTCCGCGAGGCTCCCCCAGCTGCATGTCCGCCTCGGCCCCCGTAGTCCAGCCCCACCTGTCCCCTTGCCTGGCACATGTCCACCATGTCCTGCTGCCCACGTTGGTCCAACCACCTCTTGGCTCACGTGGCGTTTCCCACGTGGGTTTTGTCCTCTGTCCCACGCTACCCACATTGTCCCACACTGTTCCACGCTGTCCCTGCTGTCCTTCATGGTCCCATGCGTCTGCACAGCTGTCCTGTGTCCTGTCCCTGCACCAGCACCTCGTTCAGGCTCTCGTGACCTCTCGTGAGCTTGCCATCAGGCCCTGGGGGCGCAGGTGGGGGGTCCTGGAGCCGAACGGGCTTCCCAGTGGTTGGGTCCTGACGGTCCCTTCCAGACCGCCGTGTGTGTGGGCACGTTCCGGCATCCACTATGCTGAATCAGCCTGTCTTTCTCTGTCTCACACATGCTGTGTCTCCATTTGCTGGCATTCATCCTGAGTGTGACATTCAGAGAGAAGCCCTCGAGAGAGCTCGGAGCTTGGAAAACTGGGGAAGAAAGAGATGTCTGAGTCAAAAGCCCTTGGCTGAAGGGCTCTGTCAGTACTGTGGAGAGGAGGAGGAACGTGGTCACGGGACAGATGGCAGCGCCTCCCGCCGCCACCTTGGACACGGCCGGTCCTGCAGGGAGGAGGACCTGGTGGTGTGTGGGGCCGGCCCGGAGGCCAGGGGACAGTTTGAAAGGACACGGAGGAACAAGCCCACCACTTGTCACTGCAGAGAGCAATCCAGAAAGCCTGGACAGCCTCAGGGGGCGTGGACGCGACACTGGTCTCAGATGAACTCCACTGCAGAACCACCCCCTGGCCCCAAGCGTCGCTGGGGCCGCAGAGTGTGGACCAGATCTGCGTGTGGAAGTGAGGGCGTTTTGGACTCTGGGTGGTGGAGGAGGGCTCAGATTCTGGAAGATGGGCCCAGTCTTCTATGGGGGAGGTTCAGTCTGGAAGTGCGTCTGGAGCTCAGCACCGTGGGGTTTTGCAGGGGGAGAGGCAGGTCCTGCACGCGGGCTCTCGGTAGGGTCTGTGCAGGGCAGATGTGCTCTGGTCCTGGGGGAGGTGATGGGCTGGCAGTGGCCGGGTCCCCCTGCTGCAGTGGGGACCGGGGGGGTGTTGACAAGTGGAGCTCCCCACGGGAGGCCGCTCGGGGGTCCCGAAAGGGCCAGGACCCCTGACCTGGGGTGACGTGGCTGGCAGAGCTGTGAGAGGGACCCTCATGCTGCGGGGCCCCCACTGTCCCCAGATGTTCTGGCTTCTCTGCGTCCGCACGTCACTGCCCCGAGCCCCGTCGTCCTCCGAGATGCTGCCACGACTCCGCCCTCCACCCCGTCTCCCCTGCACCTCCCCTCTTCCTTCCCACCCACGCAGAGCCCTATGTGAAAACAGGTCGGTCCTGGGGCCGCCCTGTTGACGTCCCTCGGCTGCTTCTCCTTGCCTTCGGGATGAAGCCCGGAATCCGTGTCCCAGCCTTGAAGGCCCACGGGGTCCGCTTGCCGGCTCAGCTTTCTGTCTGGGTGGGGGCTGCTTTCCGGAGTGCCGTCCGTCCCCGGTGGCGTCTTCTAACGCGGGGGCCGGTCTCCACAGGCATCCCGTGTGAGTGCAGCCAGCTGAGGAAGGCCATCGGCGAGATGGACAACCAGGTCACCCAGCTGACGACGGAGCTAAAATTCATAAAGAATGGTACGTTCTCAGGGTTTCCCTGTCCCCCCTCCCGACCCCCGAGACAGAGGGGCTCGGCCGGCGTGTGGCGCCCGCGGTCCGGGCCTCGCTGGGTGCTGCGCACCGAGCGTGATTACGGAAACGCGAGTGCTCACTTTCCAGCACTGCCCCCCCCCGCAGCTGTCGCCGGCGTGCGCGAGACGGACAGTAAGATCTACCTGCTCGTGAAGGAGGAGAAGAGGTACGTGGACGCGCAGCTGTCCTGCCAGGGCCGCGGGGGCACGCTGGGCATGCCCAAGGACGAGGCCGCCAACGGCCTGATGGCCGCCTACATCACGCAGGCCGGCCTGGCCCGCGTCTTCATCGGCATCAACGACCTGGAGAGGGAGGGCACGTTCGTGTACTCGGACCGCTCCCCCATGCAGACCTTCAACAAGTGGCGCAGCGGCGAGCCCAACAACGCCTACGACGAGGAGGACTGCGTGGAGATGGTGGCCTCGGGCGGCTGGAACGACGTGGCCTGCCACGTCACCATGCACTTCCTGTGCGAGTTCGACAAGGAGCACGTGTGAGCGGGCGGCCTCGGGGTGGCCGGCCCCCGGCGCCCCAGGCCGCCCCTGC